ATCCCACAGCGATCTGCAATAAACTTGTCTTACCCAACGTCTTACCTTAAGTTTTGATCTGTTGGCATATATTTGGGAAGGAAGCATACAGATGAGTGCTGTTTAATCAATACCTGGAAGACAGAGCAGTGCAGTTTATTCATTATGACAGTATTAAATATGCCTAGGGAAAACTAGCATGTGTATTGATAGTCTTAAGTCAGTTGTATCTTCACATCACAGATCTAGATAAACAAATACATGTGGTTTTCTTCTGCCAGTCACTCACAATCAGTTCATTGCTGTCTTGTATGACACAACCTTCATGCACCACTGTCTGTTGATAATACAGGTCTTTTTAGGTCAGCAAAATACATAATAAAAAAACATTGGAGTAGAATCAAAGGAGCTAGAGTATAATCACTATCTAACTCAATCTAGCTTTCATCATGACTAACTTCAGTTGATCTTCCCAAGATGACACCAATGTCTTCCCACCCGTTTGCTGACGTCACAGAAAGAGGAAGTGAACAATAAATACTCTTAAAAGGCATCTGTAATCAGGGTCTGCAACGTTAACAGTGGCAACGTTGTAATGGTTCAAACATGCTGCGGGTTTTAAATCACAAAGAAGGGAGGAAGAGTCAGAAAGGAAACCAATGTAATTTTAATGACCAATTGCGAAATACAATACTCACTGTGTAAAATAGATCAAATAAAGGTGGAAACAGACTAATGCTATGATGATGCTGTCTTCTGTCCAATTACAGCCCTTTTTCCCAGGCCCTGCAATAAAAACTCAATATAAGCCTTATTTACCAAACGCAGCAACCACAGTGTATACAGCCTTGTCTTAAGTCTACACTGCAATGTATGTTAGCTCTCAACAAGACAAGCTGGAGCGAAGTTTTGAAATGCAATATACACAGAAATGAAAGAGGAAATACACCCTATAATGGGCAACACATTGCAGCAGATTACATGCCATTGGTCTTGTATATACTGATTACAGGCCGACAGCTCAAGTCCATCATGCATGAGTAAACCAGGCTGAGTCAAAAAGGAAGAAAGTTAGTCTTCTTTACGTTGGAAAAATAAATCTACAATCCACTCAAAGCAAAAATCAAAAAGAATTCACTTCAGTTCATTCATAAAACAAGCCAAGATCTTAAGTGGGGTAAAAATATTAGATGAACGGTATATTGATTTGACCTAGTGTAATCCTTTATCCTGTAACTTTGTCAGGCATGTCCTCATGGCTGCACTAAATCAACCAAAGACAACAAGAACTATTGAGCCAATAAACTAGCAGAGCGGATCCTTCTGGAGAGTCTTGAGCAGAGTGAGATGCCAAATGAGATATGTTATCCCTCCACTACGCCTGCCATGAGCTCCCCTGGACATCAACACAGCACCTCCAATAAACGTGCTCTTTTTAGAGGCCAGAAATGACTTTAGTGTGATCAAGAGAAAACGGTTCCTAGAAAATGTTTTGTTTTGTGTCCATCTCCCAGACAGTAGATAAACATCCCAACGTTACAAAATGACAGCTAAGACTTTTTTGTTTTGTTCTTTTTAACAGAAGTGTCAGAAGCATAAAGGATGATGGCATGTGACTTTGTTATTTTATCTATAGACAGTCAGAGTACATTCATAGGGATGGGTACAACGATTTTACTGTCACCTCACAATAAGTAGGTACTGGAAATGGAGAAAACTGTATTTGTCACTGATGCTTTTATAGAATAAACGCTTTTGTCTATAAGACACTGGCTCAAGACAATGGCTCTGCTCATAACTGCTCTGTTTACAATAGCTTTTCCAGCTCCTGAAGCAACATTTCAAAAACTTGCACTTTTCTAAAATCAAACTCCACTTTATACTGAATAAAGTGAAGGTATATTGCACAAGTCATAAAACAGGACATAAAGGCCTAAATATGATTAGATATCATTTTAATTGAATATAGCAAATAAAAAATCTTACACTATAGCATGTTTCTTAATATAGAGCACTTTTTAGCCAAATCTACTAACACATATTTAAGCCATTCAATCCCCTAGACACATCTTCAGTGCCTTCCCATCTCTGCATCCTTCGCTCTAGTTTCGGCAAATGCATTTGGCCCATCTTTCTCTTCCTCCTCATTCTCCTTTCACTTTGAGACTCCAGACCATATGGTGTAATTGGAAACATGTGTGTGTTTGATGATTACAGTGGTAGCTCAGTCACTCTCTGGGAACCTCTCTCCCTGCACAGAGGTGGCACACACACATACACACACACTTATATATAAACATTTACCGCTTGCATCATGGCAACACCTCTGGACCTATGCTCTGGACCAAAGCAATAAAGACGTTTCAATCCCAATTCATAATACAGTAAATATCTTAAACGTATGTTGTTCTAAAGTCCAAACCATAAGCCTTAGACAGAAATGGAAATGGGTGACTTGTTCTTCTAAATTGTTTTTAAACCCTTTTCTTGAGCCTTGGGGAAACATGGTGCCTAGCATTGTGCATTGTATTTGAGCTGATTTACTCAATTGCAGTACTAAGAATGCACATTTTATACATCCAGAACCTTTTTCATCAGATCAGGTGGGTTGTTTACCTGTGTAACATGTTTCAGCTACATCGAGTAGCCCTCATCAGAAGCATAAGGCGGTGATGTTGGCGTGTAGGCTACTTATAAGGCTTAGCCTTGGTCCCGTCTGTCATACAGCTTCTCTAGTTTTCTTAAAAAGTCAGATTTAACTTTTTTAAAGGAATATATATTTTAGATGAATTTAAATAAATGAACCTGTCCTGAGTTTTACCTGAACAAAAAAATTATGAGTTGTTCTTGAGGAAATTATTATTTACTTCACAGTTAAAAGTACTACACTGACATATTTCATGCCCATAGCAACTATTGGCCTGGTACTACAAAAAACAAAAACAAAAGTTTTGGATCAACTTAGATTCATTAATTAAACCATTCTGTCCAGATGCATACCTAAAGCCTATGAAATCTAAAAGGTGGTCCACTCATGCAGAGAGATGGTAAGCTAGAGAATTGAACTCACAACTTCTTTATGGGAACCAGAGGTTCTAACAACTCTATCTGGATGCAGAGCATGAGTAATGACTGAACTCAAATGCAATTCATTCCAGTGATTAGTAAATGTAGAGTTTACCCATTTCTAATTGTATTGACTAAACAAATCAAGACTTAACAATTTACCAGTGTTTTGCAAGACTGGAGACCATTCTGTTAATCACTACTTCTTTGAACATTAAACTGTAAATCCATTTTGAGGCCTGAGGGTTCATGCTCTTCTGCCAAGTCACCAGGAGGCCTATTGTTTAAAAAGTAGAACTCCACTGTAAAATGGCTTAATCTAAAACAAGTCTTGTTCTTTTCTATAAAACAGTGATTCTGTGTATTTACTAAATCTCCAGCACCCTGAACCCATTTCCCTTTCACCTCTCTGGACTCAGTGGCTTTGAGGGGACAGTACCATTGCTTAGAGAAAAGCCCAACTCTTTTTTTATTACTGCTGTTACTGCTGTTTTTAGAACTATTTCATTTAGGTTATATTCTAATATTATTATAATCCAGTTTTGGGGGGCATTGGAGCTCTTTCTCCCATTCACTAAGGGCATTTACTCAGTCATTTCATTTAATGTGTGTAGACAACCCTTTAAAAAAAGGAAAGCAATGGCTAACTAAATAATTATTAAATAAGATGATAATGCTTTAGGGTATGTTTTCTACAAGCTAATATTTTCATTCATTATTATTCATTTACTCCTCTGTCACACAGGTGGCAAAGGAAACAAGTCAAGCAGACTGGTAGTCACCAACATACCTCTGATCGCTTCCAATTACAAACACGCATTCGATGAAGTGTCTTGCCCAAAGACACAACGGCACCAATTGGAGCCCGAGATAGATCTACTCTATACGGCCTTGTTGCACACAAACCTTCAGAGAAATGCACAGTGAGTCCTAGTACCTCCCTTGTGTCTGACATGAACAGCTGCACAAGAGAAACCGTTTGGCACCATCTAGTGACCCTTTATTTCAATCACACTTGGACTCAAGATCAGAAAACTTAAGAAATCGTAGGTCTTACAGAAGGATCCTTTTTTCGCTTATATTGAGGTAGGCCTGTGCTTTACACTGCGATTATGAACCTGATTTCATTTGCTTAAGATATATGAAAATATTGGTTTTGGAGCTACAGGTGAAACTGAATCAGTGTGAAATTATTGATCTTGGCCTATGTCAACTTTTAAATATTTTGAACCAATTCCTTAAAAAAAAAATACTACTGTAAAATAAAACGCACAAAAGAATCATATTTTTGTCTTCTGTGCGTGTTGTTATTTTAATTAAGTAAATTAAACCCTAGATTTTGCTCATAAAGGCTGTCAGTGTCCATCAGCCCGAATGTGTTACAGAAGTCTCTTATAAAGCTGACCCAATTTGTTTTAAATGGGCCAAGTCATAACAAATCATACTCTGAGATGTGATTACACGCGTTTGTTTTTCTACACAGCAGGCTAAATAGACCATATCGAGGCAATACTGACAGATTAACATATCTGCGTAATTAACAAAAATCAGTTCATTGCACGTAATGCCGGGGTGGGCCAAGGTCAAGCTCTATAAAACGATATCAAATGCACCCAGCAGATGGCGCTGCTGTGCCTAAACATGGCACAAAGTTGGCTGTCATTTCAGGACAGTGTCTCTCACATACAAAATAAATACTCTCACTGACCCCAAATTCACCTTTCAGCACAGCCAAATGGTTACACCGGTTTTATGTGCAGGTAGGCATGGGCCATTGAGTGAACCCTCGTAAAGACAACAGTCCATTGCAGCAGTCCCACGCGTCTCTCTCCACCCGCTCCAAACGCACGCGCAAATAGCCAGGCTGAAGCAGAGACCAGAGAAGGGGAGGTGGGTGCTCAAAAACAAGGGGTGGAGCTTTGGGGGTGACACGGACGCCCCACTGATCATGTAATATTCAATTAGGTCATAACAGAAAGGCAGGCATCATCAGGACAGGGAAAGTTGACGGCGCCAGAACCCAGGTCATGTGTTTTTAGAGCATCGAGCATGCTTTGTGGAGCTTCCGGTGTTACTGTCGCAGCCTGCACACTCTATTGCACCACTTTTCTCAGCCTGGATCCCAACTTTTCTCGACTACAGCACTATGGATCTTCTGTGGACGGACACGAGCGCCTCGGTACGGCATGCAAATACGTACTCTGACGTCGGCGGTCATGTGGCTTTTGGCGTAGAGCCTTCTTGTGATCGCCAATTTTTCCTTTCCTGTCGCCTGTTGTCTCCTCGGTTACCGGACCACGGCGAGATTGCTTAGCCCAGCTTTGACAGTTTTTGTGGGTTAATAACAGAGTATTAGTACCCATACTCGCGGCTTCACCTGAGCATCGCGCCAAAACCGCGGGCAGGTAAGAAATGGATAAACTCTTCCTCTGTCTCTTTGCTCCGAAACGCCCCCTTCTTAAAAAGTCTCAAGTTATAGCTAATGGTACTTGTTTGGTAGGACCTCTCACGTCGCTAGCATCGCCCCGTGCGTCTCCCCACGCCACGAGCCTCAATATAAATATTTTAACTTGTCTCGGCGCATGAACTTTGCCTGCCCCGTCGTCTCCACCTGCAGACAATGAGCCCACCAAGTTGTTAATTCGGCCAAGTTTTGCTCTTAAACGCGGGGGTCGTGAGAGTAGCAGACAGAGACGAAGAACATCGTGTCTACTTTTTCCTCCTCCCCGTGTCGACATAACCAGCAAAACATGGCCGTCCATTGCCGACATGTTGTTACGTCGATGGCGAGAGAGAGGGGGAACATTTGGGGAGAGTGCTTCTCGGAGCCCCTCACGTCTCGCCGCGCTAAACTCTCCCGTACGTCTGTGGACCAACTCAAAACGAGCGGTGCTGCGGTCTCATTGCAACTTTTGGAGTGTGGTGTTGTTTATAGACTTTGATTTGTGCGACTCTGATGTAGGCGTAACGTTACCCCGAGGGATGCTCCCTCCCTCTAGTGCGCGGCTCTTACTGCAAACGCTGTGCCATAGCGCCATGCAAGACACGATATGTGCTCAGCTGAACCCATGTCTTAGCTTTCTTATTTGGCACAAACTTAAGTCACTTGCTCTGCCCCACTCAGGCTGTGCAACCAGCTGTGGGTGCAGTGTTCTGTTTTGGGAGAACTTAGGTGCAATGAATGACTTGCAATCAGTTTTAGGGAGAGTAATGTTTTTGTGAAAATCAAACAAAAACAAAGAAATGATAGGCTGCACTGTAAGTACACAAACAATCATAGTCCATCTTACCAGGGTTTCATCATCCAAGCATTCATATTACGATGTGTTTCTATAGTTGAGGGCATAAACCTTTAGTAGGCTTTTGAGTTGTAGATTTGGAAAAAAAACATGTCTTTTACTGATAACTATAATTTGTTGCCGAAGATAATAATAACTATTACACAACATAAGCCATTACAGCATATACAAAACACTGATTGAGCTTGATGCTTGAACACGTAAGGTATATTTGAATCAGTGATGAAAGGGGGATAAACACAACATCTGACATATGAACAGCATAAACCACTACGTTTTAACAGCAACGTGATCATGACAAATGTGTAATTACATAAATGCACACAAACAAACCTTGGTTCTCCCTGCTAATTTATTTGTTATGTCCTCAAAAACATACCTGGAGTTTTGTTTCATTCACCCATGTTTGAGTAATCCCAAAAGCACTGAGTCTGTCTACCACAAAATGCCCTGTTCCACCTTGTGATGTAATGAAGAGGTAGTTTTCAAATTAACAGCTACTTTTCACCTTTATTTCAGTATAGATAATTCCAGTGTGAAATTATCAAAATGATTCAAGTGAAGGTGTGGAGTTTAAAATGTATTATCACACGGCATCACAAGGTGGAACAGTGTTTTCTGTTTGAGAGAAGAACTCAGCCTAAATATGCAGGATTTGTGTGTTAAACATGCGTAAATGAAACAAAACTCCAGGTATGTTTTTGATGAGGAAACAACATTATAATTTAGATCAGAAAATAACACAATATGGGCCCTTTAGCAACCTGCTCTGCCATGTAAAAACGTTCAAGTTTTTACTTTTATTTAGCACATTTTAAATCAATATGCCTGTTCATTTATGTTGTGGCCTCAAACATCCAGCTTACATTGACACAACAGGTGGGTTCAGTAATTGGGACCAAAAGCAAGCAACTCATCTAGTCGATAAAAAGTGTGTCATGACTTGAATAATGTCAGATCCTGATGTTTGATGATAAACTTTGTGCACGCTCTGACCTCTGTTCATTTCTTCTGATGCAGTTCCCATCACACCTCCATAAAAGACACCAGGCGGATTTTGATCACAGCTTCTTTAACCTTGCTGTCATTTCTGTTACTGTAATTCCTCCGAGTATAGAGACATGCGCTCCAGCACTTCACATGTTAGGATAAAACAACCTCATATGGTTTCTTGGTGCGATCTGTCAAAACTAGAAACATCAGCTATGTAATCTGAAGCAACAAAAGAAACATTTTGAATTTTGATCCTGCAGTAAAGTAAAGCATTTGTATTGATAAAAGCAAATGGTTAAATCACATTGTATTTCTTTAGATGCAGTGAGCAGCATCAGCAATGAATAATTAGTGACTGAAATTGAAGAAGCTTTTCATTTTGTGCTTAGTTGTAAAAATGTTAATAATTATGGACCGGATCTGATTTGTTTTGTCAGTTATGGATGAAATTAGGCATACCTTTTATTTTTGTTGTGGCCTTTTTACAATCTTAATATTTGCAGTGTTTCCCATTAGCTGAAGAGACTATGGTGGTCCCTCCGTACGACTCTCACTTTGTTGTTCTTTTTTATTTTACCTTTATTTAACCAGGATAGTCCAGCTGAGAATCTATTTTTCATCAACGTTAAAAAAAAAACTGCTCAATTCAAAAAGACTGCTTAAATGAAATATAATCAAAACGTGACATCCAAACTCTACAAATAGTATCAAAGAAAATTATTAATATAGAGTAGTATTTATTTTCACCACCATAATCTGAACAAAATCTATTTACTGTATTTTTGCATTGTATTATAATTTTATGCACCTCTCTTTGTTTACATTTTTCAAGAGCTTGTTCAAGACATTTTGAATAGTAGTGTTATGTGTTGTAAATTGTTGTTTTAACTGTTGTAACTTGGGGATTATAGTGATGCACAGATGTCGCTGCTTCACCATTGTCCCATCCCTCGTGCAGGACAACAACAGAGTCTAAGCATTTGGAAAAGAGAGATTTTACATACAGCTTTTTGGCCAGCTGTTATGTTTGGTTTTTAAATCCACTGCCTCTCCAGCTACATACCAGCGTTTGTACATTACAGAGTTTGACCTCTCCAGAGTGTCACGGCCAAAACATCAGGCTGTGAAATGATGTGTGCCGTTTGTTCCTGTTACATTTCAACTATTTACAGTCGTCAAATGGCAAGAACAAAAGCGAACAAGGCTATGTCTGTCCCTGTCAGTTTCAATTGTAAAATTCACAGCACTGGTGCCAAACTGCAACCCACCAATTGAGTCATAAATGAAGATCTTTTTGTTTTGACAGCTACTCAGTGCCTAAACATTTGGTTTAATATATCTCTGTTTGAGTGATGAATTGATATTTTCTTCTTGACAGTTCTATTCGGTTAAAGTTGTTATTGATTAAAAAGGAAAAGCAGGTGCTGGTGTGTAGATGTGAAAATACTAAACCCCAATTAGACAATGGCGTACAATTTCATATAACACACTTAAGGTATAAATACTCAGATTACTTGGTTTGAAACTAATTTTGTATTGATTTGCTGAAGTTATTCAAGCATTCATTGATTTATTTGTGATGATTGACAAGTATTTATCCTCCTGCTGTTTGTTTTGGCTAGATGCGGGCCCATATTTGTTGAAGGTTTCAACTGACACAATGAAAAAACTTTTTGGCCATACCTGTCTGTTATTAGGTGTGTTATTGTGTTTGAGACAATTTCAAACTTCAACTTACGGGTGTGCTAAAATATCGATATGTCGATATATTGTGATACTGAATTTGGTGATACAGTATTGTTATTGTATTTCTTGGTATATTTTTTTGTATTTTTGGTATATTTTATTAAATTATTATATTTTATTATAGTGCTACAATTTTAATGTATGTTCCCGAGAAAGGAAAATTGTTTAGACAGTATACTTGACATATTCACTGTTTTAATGATTAGATTATTTTTTTTCATACTGATTTTGCACAGAAATACTGTTGTTAAATGTATTTGGCTCAAAATAGTGATATATTGCATAATATCATGTGTAGTATATCAATTATCACATGTATCGCCATATCCTGATATCGTGAGCCATGTATCGAGTATCGTATCGAATCATGAGGGACCTTGTGATTCCCAGCCCTACCTCAACTACCTGCTGCTGCTTTGAGTTAAGTTTGGGATCTTTTTGACTAGTCTAGTCTAGTTGGTTTTGCTGCATTTTAGTACTTTTCATGTCCTTTAGCACAGCTCAAGTTGCTGGGCTGTATAACGTGTCCATTCCCCCGCTGAAGCGACTGACTCATCGTGGGTTGCATGGAGGCTGTTGTTGTCGTTGGGGATGTTGCTTAGCTTGGCTCTGCAGTGATGTCATCAGCGTCTACACCGGCCTTTGTTCTAGGGCTTTCTGGGTTTCAGATGACATCACAACAGACTACAGACCTTTACTGATGATCCGGGTTTAAAAAAATAATTATTGTGAGTAATAGGGTATGCAATGAGTAGTTTATTTGAATTTATAAATAATGATAATAATATTTGTGGATTTTCTTTCTGATATTTTTACCCCAAAACTCATACAAGGTTATTAGCTCCTGTCCCCTGAAAATGTGGTGTCATACGCAAGAATATGAACATATTAACAACTGTAATGTACCTTGCCTGGAACAGAGCTTCTCCAACGTGTTGTGGGGTGACTAAGGCAACCACGGATGAGCTCATCACCTGTGGGTGGAGCCCAGAGGCCTAGTGTGGACATGGGGGAGTTGGAAGACAAAGCTCCATAACCATAAATGTGATGCAGATTTGTTGCACAACAAGCGTATTAGTAATCACTGCAGTTATCTTTAAACATTGGATATCATTGCAGAACTCGGGGTTAAAAAAGTCTA